TATTGAAACAATTCAAATCGCAGGAGGAGATCACACATGAACCTCTATAAACATCGTACGTGGGGTACTGGTGACATGGGTTAGTATGCATCCCCTATCGAACAGTAACACCTACAAGGTGCTCAGGAATGAGGAATCAGAAAATCCGCAAACAATTCAGTGTTTAAATAATGACCTAATAATTAGTATGAAAAAACAGCTGTCGGTATTTGACTTAATGATAGATTACATTTGCTTGTTGTGAGTGAAGCGAACCAAAAACCCTTGGCTTGCGAAGATGAAAATGGCGAGTCAAGAGCAATTATTTGACAGGGTCACCTGTCATTTATGTGCTTTGAGGATGCATTTCCCTAAATTGCTTAGGAGAGGGAACTGGAAAGAAAGAGGGTAAGATTTGGTTAATTTTGATAATTATCATTATAATGAATTTTATTTGTTCACTGGAAATTGTATGTCGTAAACCAAAGACTAATCCGAGATTCCTCTGATTCTAACCCCCGTTTTTTTATATTTCGACTTGTGCACAAGTCATAATGAACAAGCAGAATCTGATTTCAATGTATTTTTGCTAAATTAACACTCTATTGATATAATTTAGCCCAAGGTCTGGCAGAATCTCTGACTGAATTTATAATAGAAATGAAATTCCAATTAAAAGATCAAGAATCCCTGTATATGATTAAGACTTTTTCTATTTCTAGCTATACATGTAGCTTCGAAAAGCGAAGATGTGTGCTGAACCAGAGAATGCAAAGTTGTGTGATGAACCAGGGATTGCAAAATTGTATGCTGACCACGGAATGCAAAGTTGTGTGCTAAACCAGTGTTTCCAAATCTCCCATTACAAATAGAATCAGCGCAGTAAGCCAAGGATGGCCCATCACAATAGTGGTAGGTTTCTGTTTAATCTTTTAGAACAACTACACTAGTACGAAATAACCAAGATGCTTATCATATTGATATTTTTTCCCATCGCGCAACTATATATATATATATAACATCTCGAATATGCGTCTGTGTGTGTGCCAGTGTGTTTGTTACAGCTTGTGGGCTGATTTACAGAGAACCTTTGCATACATTGAACCACTCTCAGCCTTTACATACATGCGTGGCATTATAAAAGGACGAAGCCTATTCATTTTCAAATTGAACGATGTAATATTTCTAAAAATATGGCGTTTTTATTACCTTCTAACCCTGAAATGTTATGTACGACTTGACAATGCTCCATTCCGCTTATTCGGGTTACTTCAATAAACTGAAGTTTTATGTACGACTTGACAAATATCACTTCCGTTTAATAAACATGGTAAATTCGGGTTGCTTAGACTCGCTAAGTATTACTTCGTACATGTATCTGCACATTGTCATGTAATTGTGCGTATTATGAGACAATCTGTATGAATTAACATGTCATCTCAGTGGCTAAATAATTGAAGGAAGGATATGAAGGTAACGAACAGTATTCAATATCAAAGTCCATGAAATGAACGTCGCGGTTTCATTACCAAATCCCAACAGGTGTATGCATGGATTTGGGGTGCACGTTATTCCTGAAAGCTGTAAATACAGTTTAATGTTTAATTGACCTCTTGATGTGTTTTTTTTTTTCATTACGAAAAAATGCATATTGCCTGGAACTGTGAGGTATACTTAGGTAAATTACCGAAACCTATAAATGTAGCATACGTGATATGTTTCTGATAGTTATAAGGGAAACTGCCCAATTACGTATGCCTATTATGCCCCCTCCCTACTAAAATACTATGCAATTTGTTTTCTCTTAAAAAAAGACCCCCATCCCCGATTATTTTGTTTAAAAAAATAAATAGTGCTAAAAAACATTTTATTTTCCTCATCTAATATTAAAGTTTACTACCCCAAATTAGGTATACATGTAATGCCTACCTAACCAAGATGTTATGTATTTTGCATTTTGTTAAAAATGGATCAACATCCCCCCTCCCCCTTAATAATTTTGTTAAAAGTAATGGAGTTGATCCTAACGCTGCGGGTTCAAATCCCACTGTAGGACGTGAAGACTAGTCCTTCGAATGAGACCGTGTAAATCAATGGCTCATGTTCCGATAGATGCTGGCACAAAAAAGATCCCTCACTGCTCAATGGCCGTCAGTGCCTTTTATATGAAAAAAATGCGCAACTCTTCACGTCAAGCCTTCATATAAACAAAAACTTCCTGAGAGGGACATTAAACAAAATACGTTGTACTATTAATCTTTAACATGGTTAACGTCCCTCTAGAGAATTTATCTCTCATGAGATATTGCCAATACCGGTGAAGTTCCTGTCGCGAGGAGATGCTCTGCTTAGCGGTTCCCTTGTTTAAAATTAATTTGCATATTGCACACATACATGTATGGGCTAAGGTCAAGATCTATCATTAGACATTTCTAATCAAAGTACTGATAGTACTGATAGACGGTGGCATGGATGGTGTGTATTATATGAATATATAATGTAGGAACCTGCTTTAACACTAATGGAAATATATATTACTTGGAGTGAAAAGGGAAAGGTATTGAGATAAAGTAAGGATTGAAGGTGAGGAGGGTGTGTAAGTGTTACAAATCATGATTTTGTTGGACCTGTGTGGTATTGTTGTTACTCTTATGATGTATGCAAAATCAGGATATTCATGAAGCTTTATATATATCTTAGAAGGAAACAAGGGTATGCCATGGAATTAATTATCATTATATGGTATTCAAGGAAAGCAGACTAATTATGAAAATTAGATTTGTTCTGCTGTATTTTTCTGGTTGTTTTCGCATGTCACACTCAATGTAAGTTGACCGATTCATGACTTTTAAAACCTTCAGAAAAGAAGAACAATTTTTGAGTACTGTGGGAGATGGATTTTGAAAATTTAGCATAGCAGTTGGAATATGTATGCGTCCAGATCGATATAAATTGGGACATATTTATATTTGTCCTGTTTATCCGTTTATCTGTATTTCTCAGTTGTCAGATTTAAACTTTGCCAAAATGTTGAATCGTGAGAGATAGAGAATTCATATTTGGTATGCACACTCCATTGATTAAGCTTTTCCAAATTAGACCAAGATCAGTGACCTTGACTATGACCTATATGTTACAAATAATTTTTTTTTATTGTTGTCATAAGTTCTGAATCATAGGAGAAAGGTACTTCATATTGATATGCATACTGTACTAATTATTTTCTTTCATGGCACCATGGTCAATTAACCTTTTGACCTTGACTGTGATGTATATGCTCAAGATAAAGTTTTTGAACTTTTGAACCATTAGAAATAGAGACTTAGTAATTTTTTATGCAAAGTCCATTAATGTGTTCCAAGGCCAAAGACCTCTTTACGTTGAATGTGTTATATATGCTAGGAATTGCGTTATTGGAACTTTGTTGCAAGCAGGTGCATAGTGTTTCACAAAAACATTTCTGGAATAGCTACTGACCCATATTTTGTCATTCTGAGCAGGAAACTATTTGACTACAGAGTTGGCCTTTTTTAAAATAATTGGAAGCTTGAAAAAGTATTATAATTTGTGTTTTCTATTAAGCTTGAAATAGTTTGAATTTATGAAGAGGAGGGAGAAATGATGGAAGTAGTTTTATTGAAACATGGTTGAATGCAGAATAAGTCAAAATAGTACAAAGTACATTATATTTTGAAAAGCATTGTAGGGCAAGCTTATCACAAGTATATTTTTTTGAAAGAATAATGTGGCATATCTTGGTGTTGAGAATAAAAATATTACAAAGAAAACAGGAACTTCTTTGACACATAAAATGTTTACAGAATGAATAAGGAGTACAAGTGAATGTTATGTTATACATCTATTGAGATGTGTGCATATCCTAAAAATTTTTTAAATGTGTTCATTCACAGCAGGAAAACTTTGGTTGTAAAAGATGTACACAAAAAGTAAGCATCGTATTGTGGCCGTTAATTCATTTACAATAATACTACATATGTAGAAAAATTTTGCCTAAGTATGAACCAAATTACAAATGTAAAACTAAGATTATAAGCATATGTACAACATTTGAAAAAAAAGTAAAAATTATGAGTACATTGTATGGAATGTACATTACAACAGCATAATTACAGATGACAAAGGTTGTTCAATACAAAACAAGTTATCTCACAAATAAGCAATTCACTAATAAGTTGGATGTAATACATAACATCCTTGTCAAGTGTGAAAAATATTTACAAGGAAAACATTTGCTACAGAACTACACAATTTGAGAGAACATAATTGTTTTAGAATAAGAAATGTCACAGAAAAGTTGTAGTAAGCAAAGTAACTAATTGTATAATATTTACAGAGACAAAAACATAATAACATTTCATGGAATAGCACAGTCCAGACATCTGAACTTTTTCTCAGTATGAGAAAATAGCACCTGTAAAGCCTTCCACATTTAAAACCGTGTCTATTACGGGTATGACTAAAGTAATAAATTTTTACAAAGATGGTGAAAATAAGGAAAACCATGTGAAAAATTAAGTATGGCATTGTACTGCTGTTGATGGAGTATAACAATATGAGATTGCACAAATGAAAGAGATACATGTATAACTATTTTGGCACATTATGGTGGCTGTGTAAACAGTAAACAAAAATGGAAAAATATAAGCATTAAAAGTCAAGTCTGAATGGTAAACAATGTGCATGAAAAGATAGCACTATTTACAAAACATGAAAAATGTACATGCTGTTATTTTTTACAAGACATGTAATTGAATTCAGCTTTTGTCTGATGAAGTTTCACATGATTGATGGAATTCAGAAATATCTGCAGGTATACATCAAAATATAGAGAAAATGTGTACATGATTTGCACCTGAAATAAGATAAATACTGTTTAATACTGATATTGAATTTCTTTTTTTTATTACAATGATGGAGATTATGTTTTATGAAACAGGAAAAGTGTTTCACTTGTCATTAACAAGTTTGTCTTTAAGCTATATTTCATCTGCAATAAGACCTTAAAGTTCAATGCTTTGCACATTCACTCCAATGGTGGTAAATTTCACTGGGAATGGAAACTTTTGCACAATTAAGTCTTCCATTTGTTCATTTGACAATTGTGACACATCTCTATGTCTTTGAAGTTGAGTTCTTATCATGCTTATGTCTACGACATAATCCTTATAGGTGGCATCTAACACCAAAATGAACAACTTGCATTATTTAGTTTTTATAAATCATTAATCAAGGAATCTGAGAAATATATTAAAGGCATTGTTTTCATTAGCAATGTAAAAATTACTGAATTCATTAAAAGAAGAGATGAAAATCAGACCTGAAAGGTATCATAAAAAGCCAATTTTGTTACAAGTTTGTTAAGTGCAAAAAATTGTGCTCACTATGAGGTTAATTTTTCAGCACGAATTGATCTGTTGGTATATTTGGCTTTAGAAAATGATAATTTGAGAATGTTTTGATTTGTTCAGAGTAAGTACCTTGATAGCTGTGTTTCTGGTGGTGTTAAGGGTTTTTCTTTTTTGCCATTCGGAAACTATACAATGTGATACTTCAATGTAATCTCCGATGGTGATAGATTGGTTCACTAATTCCCTCCAAAGGGTCAGCTCTACTTGGGTATCATTGTCCTGAAGAGTGAGGGTCCTTATTTTGGTGTCTACATTACTGACCGGCACTGTTTTAATGGCCTCGTCCTGTGTCAAGAAATATACATGCTCAATTAACCATACCATGATATTAAAGATAGGCCACGGAGAAATTATGTAAGCAATGGTAACAAAGAAGTAAATGCTAGGATCATGAAATCGAAAACGCCATGTAAAATGATGCTGTAGATCCCGGGATATTTATAGTTAAACATGCTCATTCACACCTGCCCAAACGATCGATAATCAGGCCGAGTGCTACTTCCGGTTTAGATGTTTACAATATCTGTGACGTCACAAGTGTGTCTTGGGTTTCCCCATGTGTATTACAGAAATGGCTGAACTGTCTGTTCATATTTATAATGAAAGTCAATCAGAACGT